CCCCCCCCAACCCCGCAAGAGGAAATAACTCCTCGGGAGCTGTCACCCACACATTCCATCTTGAAAATGGTCTTTGATCCGTCCCTCACCTTCAGGATGGAGTCCAAACACCTGCCATGACTCTCATAGCCCCTGTGATCTGGCCCCGCTTCATGGCCTGACCCCCACCCCATAACCACCACCCCACACATGGGACATTCAAAGTACCAGACTGCAGGTGCCAGACCAGGTCCCCACACTCTGTCTCTGCTTTTGCTGGGTCCTTTACCTGGAATGCGTCCCACCTCATGAACTGGCTGGCTCCCATGCATCCTTCAAGACCCCTCCTCCAAGAAGCCCTCCCTGACCCCACTCCCAGCCTGGGTAGATGCTCCTCCTCGACCACAGCCTGTTTGCAGTCAGCCAGACCTAAGTTCAAATCCCGGCTCCGCCACGCACCAGCTGTGTGACGCTGGACCAATCGTTTTACTCTCTGGGCTTCACTTTCCTCATCTAAACATGAGGATGCTCATAGTTTGGCATGAAAGTAAAATCAGATAATGCCAGTAAAGGATTTATCACAGCACCTGGCACAGACACATCGCTCATTAAATGTTACTTTAATTATTAAATACAGCATTATGCCATTCATTTATTTAATTCGAATTGACTGCTCTGTGGGGTATCGAAATAGCTAAGATATATCAGTATCTTCGAGGAACTCAGTCTGCCGGGGGGAAAGAAACTCAATAACATATTAGTATAACAGTGGTATGTCTGAAGGCTTGCGATGTCCTCAGAGAGAAGAAGCGGTAACTATTATTGCCACCCTTTACTGGTGACGACACCAAGGCTCAGCGACTTGAAGAATCTGCCCACAATCCCTCAGCCATAAGCCACTCTGGTCAAGAACCCTGCTCCTGTACCAGATACACCAGCTCAGGTCGTCGGACTCATCCTTACCTTATCCAGTCCCCGGCTTCTTCGTTTGTGTTACAAGGTAGGTAGAGAAGAGATTATGGCTCCGATTTTTATATGGGGAAACTAGGCACACAGAAAGCATATGCCAGCTATGCCCTCCTCTGTCGGGCCTTCCCTAACTAACCCCACTGTGGGTAGCTACGAACCACATTACGAGGCTCCGCAGCCAGCTGGCTGCTGGAAATATACCCTCCTCAACATCCCCAGAAGTTAAGAGTTAAGGCCCAAGAGTCAGACAGGAAACCAGGCAGCCTTATTCTCCTGGGGATTAGAGAAAACCACATCGGCCGCACAGAGGCCCCGTGCTGTGGCAGAGCATAGAAGTAGGGGCCGGAAGACGTGGGATGTGATGCAGGCCCGGTAACCACTTGATCACATGATCCTGGCACTTCCCTCCCCATCCTGGAGATGAGCTCCCAGCCACACTCACGGCCCGCAGGGCCAAACGCCCCCAGCACTTTGCACAGGGACGTTCCGACCACAGTCTCCAGTCCCCGCTGTATCCTGGTGGATTCTCTCAGCAACTCCTTACCCCCCCAAAAGGGACACGACTCAAACCAATGAGGCCAGACATCGGAGCGCACAGGGCCCCGTCTGTTGCCATAAATAAGGTCTTGGGGGAAAGCCCAAAATATGTTCCAGAAAGAGAAGAAAAACACACCTCCCTCCTGTATCCCCATGAGCTCCCACGGCCTTCTAGGCATTTCCTACAAGCAGACAGGCCTGCTTTCTCGGGAAAATAAAAAACCCCACTTTGCATCAAGGCAGAGTTTTGCTCGCTTGAAGACTATGTATAGCCAGCTTCTCCTCATCTCCTCTTTTGCTCCTTTGCAAATGAAGCACTTAAGTCATTTTGCAATAACGTTGTCTTTTTAATAAGCCTAGTCGAATGGGGCTTCCAATGATGAGGCACACATGGTTTGGCTATGTTTCTATCAACTGTCCCCCCACACATACTCACACACTGAGACAAAGGGGTGGGGTGCAGAGGCCATGAATGCAGACTGGGGTGTCTTAAGGATGCATGGCCCTGCAGGGGTGTCTGCTCCCCAACTTTTAACAGCAAGTGGCCAAAAGTAGAACTGTATGGAAGGAGAGAGCTTTTATCTGTTCTCTAGCTTAATGTTTCTCAACGTGTGGTCCCTAGGTCAGCTGTTCAGCAGCACCTGAGAATTTAGAATTACAGAAGCTCTAAGGTCACCCCAGGCCCACTGACTCAGGATCTCTAAGAATCTGTATTCTTAGCCGTCCTCCAGGGGCTTCAGAGACACTTTCAAGGAGACACTGCCCTAAGGCAGCATGCCCACCTGCGTCAGGGTTGCCTCGGGCTCATTAAAGAAGCAGTGAAGGATCCCTCCACCCAGATCCCCTCCTGGACCTTGGAAGATGGGTCTGGGGAAGCTACAGGGTTAACAATGATTCTGGTGCTCTTTAATATGCTAAAGCAACCAATATAAATCAATAGTAGCTTTGCTGTTGGGGGGACGGTGGCAGAGGGAATTAGAGCCCTTTCTTCAAATAAAATTTTCCTTGGGCCCCGTATGCTACATTTCACCAAATCTGAGAGGCCACTGATTATAAGATGCACCGTTATGGGATGTAAGAAAAGAAAGTGCTGCCAATTTTTGGTATGAGATGCCGCTGACTGTTAAGATACATTCCAATTCCAGAGATGTGCAAAGGTGGGAAATAATGTGCATCTGAGAATCGATAAAATATAGAAGGAAGCCAAAAAAAAATGCCTCTACTGCAAATGGAAGCAGGTTTGGGAGTTCTGGGGCCCTTTGAAGTCTTCCTTGCCCCTTGGCGTTTTGAAGACACCCAGGGCTTCAGGAAATACAACTTCCAATGATTGCATCAGAAAAGGCAGGCCACAGGGTGGAAGAAGACATCTGTACTACATCTATCCAACAACTGAACTTATAGCCGCAATATATAAAGAGTTGCTACACACCAATAAGAAAAGCAATGGTCCTTTCACTTGAAGGACCAGTTTGCCAAAAAGGATAACCCAATTGCCAAAAACACGTGAGAAGATGCAAATTAAAAGCACAATCTGGCACGAAGGCACACCCACCAACATTGCTAAATGAAAAAAGCAGAGACCACCGAGCACTGGTAAGGATGTGGAGCAGCTGGAATGCTCACCCCGTTGCCATGGGTGCGTAAATTGACACAAACACTTTATTTAGCAAACTGTCTGGCAGTATCTATTAAAATGGAACATAGAAATAACTTCAAACCCAGCAGTTTCATTCCTAGGTAGAGTCCTACCAGAAATGTATGAGACGTACACCAAAAGACACGTGCAGGCTTATTCCTAAGAGTTTAAAACGGGAAACCACCAAATATTCATTTACAGCAGAATGGGTAAATAGTGATCTATACCAGGGGTCGGCAAACTTTTGAGACAGAAGAGCCAATCCTGTCCCTCACAACAATTTAAAAATTATTCGAGAGCCATAAACAAATGAAATCACCAGTATGTGAATAATATCCTTTAAAAATTTTATAACTGAAACTATGATAGTTTCATTTTCATTTTCAATTTTACTTCAGAGCCACATGTATGTACCCAAAGAGCCGCATGTGGCTCGCAAGCTGCAGTTTGCTGTGAGAATGCACAGTACCAAGCCACTCGCAACACGAATGTCCCACCCATAAATGTCAAATGAAAGGGTGTAGAGGCCTGACCACCGCACTGTATTTCTGAAGCTGATGTTGAATAATATTGTATGTCAACTATAATTATATATACGTATAGTCACGGGACATGGAGTAGAGAGTGGGAATGGAATCAATGGAATTGTAATAGATAAGCATGATATCGGGGGTGGGAGGCAGTAGAGGGGGGGAGGGGGGTTGTTACTTTGTGAGGGTGAAAAGGGTAACTATTGCATTGTTCTGTACACCTGAAACTAACAATAAAAAAAAATAAAAAAAGAAAGAAACCAGGCACAAATGAGTACACACATTTGATTGCAGTTAGGTAACGTTCAAAACTAGAAGAAAACGACTCTCTAGGGTTAGAAGACAGATTGGTGGTTACCCTAACCTGAAAGGGGGCATGAAGTGGGGGGATTTGGAGGGAGGTGGGAGGGAACTGTGTCTCCATCTGGGTGCTGGTTGCACTGGTGTGTTCACTTTGAAAAATTCATTGAAATGTAGATTTAGGAACGTGTGTGTTTCTTTGCATGTTGGACCTTAATAGAACTTTTAAAAAGAAGGAGGGAGAGGAGGGAGAAGAAGAAAAAAGGGAAGGAGAGGCGTTGGGGAAGATGAGGAAGAAAGTGCAACATTCAATCATCTAGACATGAGATCACTTTACATTCCCACCAGCAGCACAGAGAAGTTTCCGCTGCTATACGTTCTTGCCAACACTTGGCTACATGAGACTTCGATGTTGCCCATCTGAAGTGTGAAATGATACCTACCGTGGTGTTAATTTGCATTTCCTGATTGCTAGTTCAGCTGAGCATCTTTTCATGAGTTTATTATTACTCATTTGAATTTCTGAACATCTGAATGCTTGAAACAAGAGCTCCCCTCTTGAGAACAGCACATCCCTATTTTTTTTTTATCCATGTTCCCCTCCTATTGGGGTGTTTGCCTTTTCCCAAAGATTTGAGGAAGTTCTTTACATATTCTGGATACTCTTTGCCTGTTATATGTGATGCAAATGTTACCTCCAAGTATGTGGTGTGTCTTCATTTTATGCTTCGATAAACAGAAGTTTATTACTTTAAAATAGTCAAAGGTATCATTTTTTCACCCTGAAACTTGTGCTTTTGTGGCTTATTAAATAAATTCTTCCCTTTGGAGCCAGGTGACAAGTCTACACCTGCTGGTTGTGTGGCCTTGGGGAGATGCCTAACACCCTGGGGCCTCAGTGTTCTCCTCTGTAAAATGGGACAATAACAGCATGCACCTCACACGGTTATTATGAGGAGAGCACTCAGTGCAGTGTCAGGTGCTTCACCTTCTCCCCATCAGCAGACCTCACCTCACACAGGGACCCCACACAGGAGGGATGGGGGTACCTTGCTCTCCAGCAGGTCTGCGTTCTGCCGGAGTTCATTCCGAGACTTCTCCAATTTTTCCAGCTTCTGTCTCAGCATCGTTAGCTCCTCCTACAAAAACAAACACCATAACAGAAGCCATTCTAGACCAATGGTGTAGGTTCCCCGTGTGCTAAGAGTGCTGGGGAATGGGGTGGGTGATTCAGCCAATCTACTGTAGGACGCTCAGGCGTTATGTTCCTACAAGGGGCCATTTCCTTCCCTTCTTCTCCTCACCTTCCCTTCCCATCTCTTTCCTCCTCTCTCTCTCTCTCTCTCTCCCTCTCTCTCTCTCTCTCTCTCTCTCTCT